CTAACTATTGAACCTTTCACAAAACGTGAGAATCTTTCAAACAATTTCGTTACTTTTTCTATTAAAATCAAACTAAATAAATAAATAAATAAATAAATAAATATATAAAAATTTATTGATCATGTCTAAAAAAGGAAGAATATCCATAGGTGTTGCGAGCATGTTCAAATGCATGAATAAGATTAGACCGTCGATGTTCATTCATTTCAATATCAGTATATGACTCTTTTTCATGAACTCGAATCAACTTCTTTTGTTCGGGTGATGCTGTGAGAATGCAATCGCTTGACATAGTAATCGAAATGATAATTGAAAGAATATCATAATTCATGTCATTTTCATTAGCATAGAGATTAAGAAAATAAATCACGGGTAATTCAAAGTAACGAAAAAAGAGTAGATTTTCTTTTGATATTATTGCAAGACGATGTAACGTGTCATTGTTGATGTTTTCCAACGCGGACGGAGCAATTTTCAATTTCCATATTATTGATCCGTGTGCTGCTGATTGACGACTTAAGTTAGCGAAAGAGTCATAATTATCTAAAAGTGTTTGAAAGTTTTCTCGAGTGGTAATTGGTTCTTGTCTTTTGGCTTGTTCTTGTACTTCTTTTAAAAACGTTAAGAATTCAGTTTCATCACTGATTTCGTATAAAGTAAATAGATCGGATGGAAGTTTGAAACGTTTAAGACTGATTGTATTAGGTCCTGTTTCGATAAGATCATGTAATCCTTCAAAATCATTCGAAATATGATCATAGTTTTCTTTAAGAACTCTGATATTCTCTTCTGACAATAAATCAACTAAAAAATAATGCCGTTTAGATGGATCTTCTATGAAAAGATCTTCTTTCCACGCATCTATCCAACACTGATGACCTGTGAGTCCAACAAATGATTCGAATATATATGTGTTTGCAATATCATTAGGTAGACGATCTGTATTTGATATCCATGTTAGTACGGATTTGTTCACCCTCTGATCAATCTCGTTTTGATCCTCGGCAGAAAATGAACATGTTCCATTAGGAAACCAATGAGCAATACGAGAACAATGTCGAAGACCAACTAAATCTCGTGGTTCACTATCAATAGTTGACCAAAATTGCTCAATACATGAAGGAGATCGTTTTAACTCGAAGAATAAACGAAATGTATGTTGGATACGACGATTATATTTTTCATATGTTATGAATCGAATAACTTCTTTCTTTTGATCATTTGAACCGAATGATTCTAACATTCTGACCATATAACGAGCAGAAAGATATTCTTGAAAGGTGCGATGAACAAAATAATAGATATTTTCGAGGATTAAAGGCGAAGAGTTTCGTGTTTGAGGTATAAGTAAAACAATTTGTAGTACGGAGAGGCGTAGTTGACCTGCAACGTTGGTTATTTCTTTTCCAGTGATCGTGAATCGATGTTCTTTTGTTGCATCAAATGCCAAACATTCCAAGTAGGCAAATGCTACAGCATTGGGTTCTTGATAAATATCTCTTTGAGCTAAAGCGGAGTTACACAGACGATGGAACTTTAGCAAATATTGTTGTAAAAGATGGTCACACATTTTCTGATAAAGTTCTCCAATAGTCATTTGATCATCTAATTTTACTTTTCCAGTCTCCCATAAACTACAAATGATTTCGAGACATGCAGGAACACATGCTGTTTGTAAGAGTTTTCTAGAATCACTAATAAATGACCAGCATCCCCTGGCAGTAGTTCGAAAGATATACGAAAAATAGTTGTATATATATTTTTCAATATCTTGATCAGTGAAACTTAAAATCTGAAGTTGAATATCGTAATGGAAATCATATGTTGCATACGGGCGAGATGTTAGAATTAGACATGATTTGTCAAATAATTCTTGTTCGATCGGAAGTAAATAAGTTGGAATCGTTCGTTCATCACATCCATCGAGAATCCAAAGAATATCTGATGAATTCTCAAAAAGATTTGTTAATTTTTGTTTGTCTAAATGATGAAGTTCGCCTCCTGTAAAGCATTCTTTTTCAATAATATCGATTAAAGAATACTTATTAGATCGTGGTGGATAGACTTCTGAATTTAAATTTCTCATTTTAATATAGAATAACCATTCGAATTTATTTCGCCATAATTTTCCAATAGCCCATGAATATGTTATGTATTGACAGGCTGTTGTCTTACCACAGCCAGCTTCACCTAGTATAAGAACATGTGATTTAATAGAAAGATTTTTTAGTTCTATTCGTATTCGTGTAATATTATGTTCGAATCGTAAATGAACATATTTGTCATCTAAAAGAGGACAATGTTCAATATTTGTGTTACTAGATAGATGTTTATAATATTGTTTATAGGTGTTTTTCAGTTTAATCTGAAGACGCGTTCGTTCTATAGTAGGTAGACTATTTATATCTTCGTCTTCTGCTAATGAATTAAATCGATCGAAAATATCATCGAGTTTACGCATATGTTCCTCTTTACAACGTCTCGCAAGTACATCTAAATTGTATTTTTCTAAATCTAGTAATTGGTAATAAAGTTCCTGATGTATTTCACCAATACGTAGCCATAAACCGGGCTCAAAGCATTTGACAACACAGTTGACGTTGGCTTGTTCAATAAACCAAGGTACATTATCAATTTGTATTTCTTCGAGATGACGAATCTTCTCATTGAGATTATAGATCAATAAACGACCTTTTTCTAATGTCAAATCTCGTTTGACACTATCAATTAGTAAAACAAAGTAATTATTCAGATTCGCATCTAAATTGTGCACATGCAATTGACCGAGTATTTTGGGTTTAATTCGTATATCACCATCTTTAAAACGCTTGATTTCGTGCATATCTGGTGGATTTTTAGAACTAGGATTATCAATTCGAATAATGAAATGTGTTTGACTAATACGTCGAAATGAAACACAAACAGCATGTTCTTTCCAACCAGTTGGAATAGTATATTCATCATCAATTTCAAGTTGTTTTATTTTACTTATGAGGTTTTTTGCGATTTTTCGATAATATTTCATTAATAATGATTGTGACGATTTTATTTGAGAAAAACTTTGATTCATCATTGATTTAGTAATATCTACTGGAATAAGTAATATTCCAATAATAAAATAATATGTTTCTAAATTATGTAAAAGTTCTTTTTCAATAATTTCGATCATATAATCATCTTTGTTGATCTTCTTATCAATAATTGTTCGGACGAGAGTGTAAATACGCACTTGGAGAAATATTTCTGGTCTAGATCCATCACTTAAACTTCGTCCACGATGAGAGGCATTATCTATATCACGAAGAGCAGGAATAAGATTATCAAACTCTACTTCAGTATGTTCAGTAGTAATACGAGTATAAAGAAGACGACTTACAGTATAATCAAAAAGTATTTCATTTCTTTCTCTGTGTAATCGATCATAATGATTGATATAGAATGTCCAACGTTTTTCAAGTTGTAATTTTGTTGGACTATTACGATGTTCATAAAGAAGAAGAAGTTCCTCGTGTCGACCGAGTTTTGCAGCCAATTGGATAGGAGAAATAAATGTGTTAGTTAATCGATCAAAATGAGATACATTGCGAAGAAAATATGATAAATGCCAATTAAAATCAGACAGATTATTATTAAAACGAGAGAAATTACAATCGACGCATTGTTCAATCAAATTTTTGACCATTTCTGAATTGCAATTATTTTTAAGTGTGTTATATAATTGTGTTTCGAGTGTTTCATTCATATTAGCAAAAAAACATGTGTTGTTGTTCTTCAATATAAAACAGATGAAAAAACATCAAGAAATGTCTACATTACAACATCTTTGCATTTGTTTTTTCTTTCTTTTTCTCTAACTAGACATGCGCTTGCTGACGACATTTTTTTCTTTTATTCATTACTTGTATTTTTCAAAGTTAAGTGATGTGTCGTCAACAGCAAGCAATTGTTTTTTCGATGATAGGCAAATAAAAAAAGAAGTATTGAAAGTATATACATGGATTAAAGACATTTTTCATATCATTTTAGCGATTCATTGCACCTTTTTTTGTACTTCTCTATAAATAAGACATATTAACCCTTTGAGTACCGGATTATTTTTATATAATAAAAATTTTTATAATTTCAGACTAACGTTTATTTCGCAAAAACTATCACAAAGTACATGAATTAAAATGCTTGTAGAGTGTGATAGTCTTTAAAACAATCCATAAGACACCATCTCACGTCACATTCAATGCATTCATACGAAGTATCTCTTCTTAATCTGGCTCTTCTCACAGTATTGGCACAAACGTAATATTTCCTTCTTGGATTTAGTTGAGTCTCTGTTGATTCAATGCGCGAAGGAAAATGTTATAAAATGTGATCAATTGATCAGAACCTTTACTATAGATAACACTCTTGAATGACTGTGTTAATATGAAAAATTCTGTTGATAACGATTATTCTTTCTTAGGAAATGTTGTCCAATGACTTATGTTCTAATTCATTGAATCACATGATGGTCGATAGAAATATTAGGGAACAACCAATATTTATCACTAGGTACAGATAGTCTTAACCGTACAAATATCTTAAACGCAAATATTCATGTAATTCATATCATAAAATAATCAAACAATCATGTTTTCTAAAGTTATTCAGACCCTAAACTATCAGGACGCGAATTCGCGTCGCCAGTACTCAAAGGGTTAAAACAAAACGATGAGTAGAAATGGATCGATACAGTTGAGTTATATATGGTTTTTTATACTTTGGTTGCTATGCATATAAAATTCTTAAAAAAGAATCAACTACCACTAGTTTTTATTCTAGAATGTATGAATCTTCACATGTTCGTTCATTTTATCATCAATCTACAAATTTAGACAATTTGTTGTCTATTTTATATCTGAAAGTAGATTTTAAGTCAAAAAATATTCTTGAACAAGCTACAAACAATTACAACAAAATAATATTAAAGCAAATGTTTCACTTGTGCACTTTTTTTAAAGGGTTCTTTACGAAGACTTTCCAAGTTTTAGTTCGAATTTGTCTTCACCACGATAGCTATTAGTTTCCACACGCCATTTGCCTTCGAATTGTGCATGATTTTGATTCCACGTCAATTGTATAGTTACTGTATGTCCGAAGTTTTCTTTAAGGTCACCAGCACCTGGTTGATAATTTTTGTTCAACGCTATCTGCTGGTTTTCTACAGAAAATGTCCCACTAATAGTGAATGGACCAACATCATCGTATCCATGTCCAGTCACTCTACTTGCATACTGATCAAACATGAGTGATATTTGATGAGGTCCATGCCAACGACCATATTGATGATATCGACTAGTCCAATCTCCACTTTTGAAATATGCTGGTTCATTCATTGGACGAACTTTGCTATCGCCTCCACGGTCGCTTTGATAGCTGACTATAGCATTTGACTGTACCTGTCGACGTCGATATCGCCTGTAACAGTAAACAGAGAAGAAAATAATCGCAAGTAAGGCAAAAATACCACCAATCACACTGCCAACAATAATTCCCGTTGACCGACAATTCGATCCTACGCAACTTCCACTGACTCTTCTACCTAGAATTCATCCATATACTTTATCGAAAATATTCGCATTTTATATGAAAGACTTACTTGAACTACGAAATCCACCACTTCCACCAGTTCGACTTCCACCGCGAGCACCTTGACTATAACTAAGCGTCGTGAAGAGTGCCACAAGTAAGAGTAGACGAAATATAATGTGCATTGTGATGTAAATTGTGTCGTATGGTATTAGATAACTACACGCTCTTTTATTCTCAATTTCATTATGTGTGAATACAGAGAAAAAGGATAGTTGTGTGACAGAATCGAATAAAAAGTAGGTGGGCTTGATGAGTGAAGGATTCGTACGTCATTCGTAAATAAGAACAGAAAAAGTGTTACAGTGATGAATTCTCACAATTCAGATTTTTCTTTGCCGTTTATTGTTACTAATATAACACGGCACATGGTTGCTTCCAGTTCTTCATATTGTGACGCAAATGTGTGTAGAATAAATATGAAACAAACGTATTAAGACTTTATCATGATGATAATATTTTATTTCGTTACTAAAACATTGAGTTTGACTCATATCAGCAAAGATGATTGTCGACGTTAGAGAACGGTAATCGAAACGGAAGCTTATAGGTGTGTATGTGCTATACGAAACGCGTAATTTACATATAGGCAGCGATGCTGAAATTAGTTTTCTGAATGCTCAATAGAGTAATGAGTTACATTCACTGAAAGATAATACACTGATGATTAATCAGTTATCTGGAATTTCAGCCACTCTCGTGGAGTGTGTGGGTGACGTTGTGGGTTCTCTCATATCTCCACACAACCACACCGAAAATAGTTTTTATATTCATGATGAAATACTGTCAAAGACTTCCACAATTGAGATCCAATACTAGCATTGTACTGGTATATCACCAAGTCATCGTGCTCAACAGTTATGCATATTATATAGATGAAACGCACCGATTAATGCTTAACCATATTCTTTGACTACGTTTTTCTCACAGCAGGAAAATATATCGAGATTAAATTTAAATCTAGTCTACCAGTTTTGTCATGAATATGAAGTTCTTATGAAAATACACATACAATATAATAACCGTTTTAGTTCGTCTTTAATTTAAGGCTTGATGGGTTTTATGCCATGAAAAATCATCTAAACATGACAGTTTGTAATTTATTAAAAAACAAAATTATTAATATATTTGCGCGTAGACTATTTAAAACTGTATATTCATGACTATGAAACAGAGAATATCACATATATTAAGCAATTGTAAACTATTGAATATGAAAACTAAATGAAAACCAGAAGTAAATTTGTAGTATTCGATATGAAGTCACATACTACATATAGGTTTTGCTTTTTAAGTCAGAATATGCTCAGTTAAAGGAAAACTCTATGCTTACTCACAGAGAAAGTCCGAATTCAAACTGAGGATGTGGGTGTTTCTTTAACTCCTAAAACTCCGCCAGCTACACTCGTTGGGGACAAAATTGAAGATGAAGGAGCACGGCATTTGGCTGAACGTTACGAATTAACATGAAAAGTTACACACCCTTTTAGTCGCTTTTACATCTATATCTCCACTTTGTTGCACAGATTATGGTTCTATTGAGTTTTGCTGGCAATGAAATCGGAGACAAATTTTGTGGACTTCTACAAGAATCATTTGGGGTGTGGGTGTAGGTTTTCGTGTGGGGATGGGTGTGTGTGGGTGTTGGTGTTGTCGTCGTTTATACCCACATCCTACATCACACCCATATCCACACCTACACCTACACCCACACTCGCACCCCCCCCCCCCCCCCCCCCCTCTGAGCGAAATCAAAACCGATCGTGGTAGCTTATACTCACTCTTTAGTTTTATATTATTTCTAGTGACTCAATCATGAATCATTTTTAGTTATCATCTTTTTGCTTTGCCGAAGACTGAATGATGCTCCTGAAATATTTGCTAGTTCTTCACAACCTGCATGTTTGCAGAACAGCTTTATCTAGTTTGTTTTGTGACTCTTAAAAGGCTTTTTCTCCTTAAATAATGAAATTAAACGCCCAACTTGGTTATTTCCTCAATGATGTTCTACAAATATTCTGCATTTTTTACATCATTTTATTCATTACGTATTGCATATTATGATGTGTCTGTCGAAAAGCAGAGCAAAGCAAACTTGTCTCAAAGTAGGCTATCAGAGTTTCCGAGAAACTAAAAAGAAAATTTTCATTACCACTATGTCTGAAATCCTAAATGAAAGGAATATTGAAGTACATGGGACAGCAATTTCCACGCACGAACCTCTGTCTTCACCCATATATTTTGCTAGGTAAAATCTACCATACCTCACCCTGCTTCCACCTCCAGACCGTCACCGAATTCGATTAAAGGAGGCGTGTCAAATTATGTACTTGGCATCTCCAAAAATCTGACTCTTGTTTCATTATCCTAAGAGTCAACACTCATCCCTAATTATTTTTCATGAGTTTATTTTCTGCTTTGTAACCATTCACTTTTCCATAATCGGGCTCTTCTCAGGGATAGAAAAAAAAATTTGTCACCATTCTATTAGATGTTCATATGGTTCAATAGAGTTCAGTGTGCTGATTACAAATATTACGGGTGGGTGTGAGTGTGGGTGTAACTGTGGCTGTAGGTGTGGGTGAATACAGAAAATATTAGTACCCACACCCACACTCACACCCACACCCACATCCACACCCCACACCCATATCTGCTGATCTAAGGGCGCGAACTTTTATTCTCAGGCAGTGAAAAAATATATTTTATAGAATAAAGAGAAGTGCCATTAATTATAGATCAAAGACAATGGAAGACGAGATACAGTACAGCCTGTCCACAGGTAACGCACTCACTCATATCTGACCTTCTGATTGTTATAAGTCGATAACTTAGGGTTGCTCAGAGCTGAAATTTGCACTGAAGCGACATGTATGCAACTTCTAGTTTGTTTAAAATTTTCATTTGATTTGATTGAACTTCGATGAAAAAATGATTGATTTTGGATGATGGCCACCATTTCTTTTCGTCATCAATCAATAAGGAATATAGGAGAACCTATAAAAAATTGCTCAATGGATACGTTCGGTCGCTTTTTCTTCGAGAAATCATCCGTGCAACTTTGGTCACGCTGAGCCGCCATTAACCGGACGAGCTGAGTAACAAGAATATAGTGAATATGTCTCCGTTCGATATTACTGTAAGGCTGTGGCTGTCTTCTCTTCATTCACACTCACACCCACATCCTATTATTATAAAAATCAAGAATTTGCTAGAGAAAATAATTCATCTTTATTATTAGAATATAAA